CCTCCATATATTCCCATGCTTTGGAGTAGTTCTGATCAGGATGGGGGACAAGTGGGAGCAAGTGACAAAATGTGTGTGGCTAAGTTGAGACGTAAACTCTGCTTCTTACACATGTGTGTGACCTCGTGAATTAAGTATGAGAGAGTGGACCTTTTGGCATCACTGTGATTAAGTACGGACACATGTGAGGGATGTCCTTATTGCTGGAGAGAACAGATTCATCTCATGCTGTGACTGGGTTTTTCCAATTCTTACTCTTCAGTTTATTAGATAGGAAAGAAAGAAAGGGCTTCCTGTCTTGTGTCTGAGATTGCTAAAAGGGGCCAGTTAGAGAAAGGGCAGAAAATGGGTGTGTTCAGGAAAGTTCCTGAAATGAAGCAAACACCAAGCAAAATACAAATACTGAGTGCTTGCTAATAGGATTTTTAATAGTTATTTTCAGATAAATGCATATAGGCAGCACAGGTACTTTCTCACCTAAAGCAAAATTCAGTGTTGGTTGCTCCAAAGCCATCGACCCTGAGATGCTAGCAGATTCCACACCAAATTGGGCCAATTTACAAAGTGTGTTTAAACTCAGTGAGGAACTAAGCAGGGGGAGGTTCTACCAGCCTCTTGTCTCTTCAATCTTTACCTTGAGTCCTGAATCAGATCTCATGATTAAGCACAATCTATATTCTTGATTGCAGATTTCAGGTTCCTCCTTAATGCCATTTTGGGGCTGGTCTACCCAAGATGGAGATTCAGGCTAGCTTGGACTGGCAATCCTCAATCTTTGCAAGAGCTTACCTTTTGTCCAGTGGCTCCTTCAACAATTCTGGCATTCAATCTGAATCCTACTGCAGAAGCTGCTGAGCCTTCGGTCTGAGCTCTTGCTGTCCATGGGCAACAGTGTTTCTTAGCAAGCTGTGGACCTGCAATGGCAGCAGCAGCTAAGCATAGTCTCTAACAAAGTTCGTTGTTAGAATGCATGACCATTGCTTTATTTGTTCAATCAATAGGCCTCCTGACTCCATCATGACTCTGGGCAGGACATGACACAATTATAACCAAGTAATCCAAAATCATACAAAAGCAACATCCAGAAAAAGAACACAAACTTCTCACAAGGGGCCTCCCATCCACCCTACCCCAAGGTTTGGGGAAGAGGCAGGTTTTAAGGGTTCATTTGAAGAGGGCCAGGGTGGGAGCCATACAAAACCTGGTGGTGGTGGGAATGTAATTTCAGAGGACAGGCACTGTGAGAGAGAGGCCCCACTTTCTCGGTCCCATCAGGTGACACTGTTTGGTCAGTGGGACCTGAAGTATGCCAACAGTGCCCAATTGTATAGGATAGACAGAAACTACAGAAGACAGACATTACCAGGCCCTGAGCCCTGAAGGTGCTAACTGTCCCCATGAATTGCACCAGGAAGCCTCTTGGTAATCCATGCAGCTCAGGAAGCAGAAGTGTTGTGTGATCATACCATGATATACCCATAATGGCTTGTACTGCTGCATTCTGGACCAAATGTAGCTTTTGAGTGATCTTCAAGAGCAGCCTGATGTAAAGTGCATTACAATAGTCCGACATGAAATGAACAAAGCATGTGTGACTGTCTTAAGGGCCTCCTGGACAAGGTGTGGACACAAGTGGTGTGCTACATGATTTTATGCAAAGGGCATCCTGGCCACAGCTACCGTTTGGTCCTCGAGCAGGTCCCCCATCCACTCTAGCCCAAGGCCTGGGGAAGAGTCAAGCTTTAAGGGTTCATTAGGGTAGGGCCAAGCTGGGAGCTCCAGGTGCTTAGCCCCCAAGCTCTGGAACATTCTTCCCCCAGTATCTGAGGGCTGGGCAGGCCTGGATGGGGAGTAACAGGCTCACGCTCAACTCTGACAAGACGGAGTGGTCATGGGCCTTTGGGCCACAGAGCTCTGGGGACTTAATGTAC